CTCCTCTCAGCCGGGTGCATGGGCAGGGCAAGAGCCACTCCAGGACGGAGGAGGGAGTCGGGGTTTGGGGGTGATAAGAGGGCCCACCCTTCCCTCCACAGAGCCAGGACAAAAGGGTGGCTTGGGGCCAGGAGCCGCAGCCTGGGGTTTTGTTTGCAGTTTGGGAGGAGTATCCAAACAGCCCCTTTCACAGGCTCCCTTCTGCCTTCTCTCCTTGCTGTGAAGGCAATGCACACTAGCTCGGAAGGGAACGGGCCCTCTAGGTCCTGCTTTCAATCTGGAAATGCTAAGCCTGCTCCTGTAGCCAAGGCAGAGTCCACCGTCCTTTCATGCCTTGTAAGAAGACATAGCTCTGTTGTGAGCCATGCCACCAGATGCAACAGCCCCTATGACAAGAGGATTCCCTCCTCCACCTCCCTGCACCTTCCCGCAGACCAGCACCTGGGGAAAGAGCGACAGTCCATGGGCAGTCTTCAGGTAGGACATCCTAACTACGTGATCCTTCCGCTATTTTGACTGAGGAAAAATTTACATAGGATAACACCGAGTGTTATAACCATTTTAAAACATGCAATTCAGTGGCTTTTAGTACATTCACAGTGTTGTACAACCACCACTTTATTCCAGAACATTTCCATCACTCCAAAAGGAAATTCTGTGCCCATTAAGCCATCACGCTCCCGTCCTCCACACCCCGGCAATGAAAATCTGCTTTGTCTCTATAGACTCGCCTATCTGGACACTGCATATTAATGGAAGCGTGCAATCGGTGGCCTGGAGCCTGGCGTCATCCACTTAGTATAATGGTTTCCGAGTTCATGGTGCCGTGGCACGTTATCATTTTTATGGCTGAGGACTAATCCGCTGTGCACGTATGCCACGTTTTGTTCATCCATTCATCAGATGATGGACATCGGGCCTGTTTCCACCTTTTGGCTGTGGTGAATAGCGTTGCTGTGAGTATCTGTGTATGAGTTGTTTGAACACGTTTTCAATCTTTTGGGAATATACCTAGGGGCAGAATTGCTGGGCATAATACGTCAGTTCTACATTTAACTTTTTGAGGAACTGACAAACTGTTTTCCACAATGGCTGCACCATGTTACATCCCCGCCAGCGATATGAGGGCTCCAATTTCTGCATATCCACATCGACACTTGTTATCTTCTTATTTTTTGGTAACAGCCACCCTAATGGGTGCAAAGTAGTATCTCATTGTGGTTTTGATTTACGTTTGCTAATGACTAATGATATGGAACATCTTTTCATGTGGTTATTGGCTATTTGGGTATCTTCTTTGGAGAGATGTTTATTGAGGTCCTTTACCTACTTTTTGGGTAATGTGCCTTTTTGTTGGTGAGTTGTAAGAATTCTTTATATATTCTAGAGTGACCCCTTTATTCGACATACGATGCCATGGGGTAAGGGACTGTTTACGGAAGAACCTGGAAGTGGGTTGAACAAAGGGGAATCCCAGAGCCGTGGTGGGGATCGCCTGCTGATAGGAGGTGCTGTTGGCTCTTAGACCTCTCACACAGACACTGACAGAGAAAATGCCAGAGAAGAGCTCTCCCAAGTCTTATAATAAGAAAGCAAGTAAACTTGGAATGGGCCTTGCTGACCTAGGATGTATCCTGGGTGGGAGCATCAGAAAGTCCTAACACAAGTGTCTTTCCCAAGAGGAGTCAACCAATAATTGGGCATCTTCATGGCCTCCTGTCCTATTAGGGAGAGTATATAAAAAACATGATGAATGTGGAGAACTGTAGTCCCAGATCGAATAAAACATGGCAAAAATTATCACAAATAACTCCTCTAAGATATGCAACTATTTCAACTATTTGCAAACTGCTTTTAGGAGGCAATTCTCATTCTTATACCACTGATTTGAAATCTACTTTTTCTGTGTTTCACAACAATATTTGTAGTTTTTGCTAAGATACGGGAAAGACTTTCACATAAGTTGCTACTAAAAATTTTAACTTATCTTCCTATACATTAAGAAAAATTACAAACTGCTTTGTACTATAAGCTGTTCCAGTAACTATGTGATCGTAGGTTTCATTTTTTAAAATGAACACCGTACTCCAGTTGTACTTTCATTAGAGCTAGGAATATGAACTAGAACTAGAACATGGGACGGCAATGAGGCCAGGCCTGCCGGAAGTGAGAGTGTGCCTGCCAGGACTTGGCTCCTGTGCTCTGAATTGTGTAAGATCACAGTCCAAGCTCCGAACAGGCTTGGCAGAATTTCCTCCTATTCTGAAAACATCTGATTGAAATCCAGGGAAAAATCACACACATGCAATTTGACTCCCACCCCACCCCCTCGCTGCTTTCTCCCCTCCTCCATAAGACAATCAAAGGTGAACTTGGAACGGGCTTGCCCACAGAACATCTAAAGGAGTCGCTATGTTTGACAGCAAAGTCTAATGCAGGGACCTCACCAGGCCCCTGGGGACGCCAGGAGCAGGAGGGACAGCCAAAGGAAAAGCACTGTCAAGGCTGTCTTTTTAGAGCTCCCAGCCTGCCTCACATGCATGAATACTCCAGATGGAAATCACACAGTAATGGGAACAAGAAGAAAAAAAATAAAATGGAGAAACATAGATTATACAAAAGTGAAAAGCTATAACTCTTACCTGGGCCAAAGAGAAAATGTACAGCCCCCAGTGAGGCAACCACAGCACGAGAAAAGCTGTCAGGACACTCTTGAGGATGACGGACAGGCTCTCAGCAATCACCTGCAGGAACAGGGTAAAGGGGCATCTCACATTAATAAAAGCTAAAGACGCACAGGAATGACAAATAGGAACCTGGGACAGTGGCCACCGTGGCAGTGAGGATGGGGCACAGGGTTAGACACAGCACCCATAATGCTCCAGTGGGCTGGGCGGTTTGTCCATGGACCTTCAGTATACTACCATGCTTTAAGCTTCACACATATGCTATGTATTCTCTTGTACATATCAAGTTACCTATTTTGCAAGATGATAAGTTATTGTTAGTATGCAATTACGAACAGAATCACTAGAAAAATCTGAAAAACCTTTACAGTCCTCTTAAAGTCTTATCTAAACTAGTAACTTCCCTATTAGTAAATCTATTTTGCATTATTAGTATATAGCAGAGGTAAACTTAAGCCCAGCCCATCTGCCAAATTTCAAGGGAATAAACTAAACCGATCATGTTATCTTTTTCCAAATTCATTTTTAGATGCAAATCTGAAAAAAACCATCCTCTCCTAGAAAACATTTTTAAGAAACCGCTCTTTCTCTTATTTTTCACACTTCCCATCAAAGCAGAAGGCACACTGACCTTGAGTTTGACAAACATCTGTGCTTGTGCCAAGACCCAGAAGGGCTCTCCCAGAAGCTCTACCACGGCCGAAAGGCCAAACACCACCACTCCAGTTCCATAGTGGGAGATGACATTAGGATCCGGCACTTCAAGCAACCGTAACCACACCCAGCCCAGGAACAAGGACCAAAACACACCCAGGGGGACGCTAGAAAAGGGAAAAAATTTTTTTTTTAATATGCTAAGTATAAAAATAAATATATATTAAAATAGTCACACTGAACAGAAAGGAAATATAATCATAAAAATAGCTACCACTTATCAAGGCACTTCCTATATGCCAGGTACTCGATTCACTCCCTTTACGTTTCCAACACCTCCCAATGATCCTATCATTATCCCCATTTAAGTGATGAGGGAACTAAGGCTGATGACGAGCACTGGGTAATGTGGCCAAGGTCATGGACAGTTAGTCAAGGGCAGAAGCAGAACCTGATCCCCATCTAACGCCAAAACCTACACTCCTATCAAGTGTATTACGCTGAGGAGATAAGCAAAATTCCCGGAAAGTACGTGCCTGTTGTTGGCACCGCGAATGACTAAAAGACAGTATCCCATTGGTTCTTGCACCCAAATAAGCAACGGTCCAGTGCGCAGCGTCCCTTCGCACGTACACCACAGAGCACTTCAATATGACTAAGTAGTTAACTGTCAGGCCTTGAATAAAATGAACCCCTACCAGCCTCACGACAGTCATTTCCATGGGGCAAGAAGGAGTCATGTAAGCCAGCACCAGCCCTCTCTGCAGGGATCTAACTGCAGAAAAGCCATTACAAGTTTTAGCTGATGTATTTGACCTTCAGGATTATTCTAAAAGGCTCAGAACTGAAATCAACCTAACAAAACTGAAGAAAGATATAATGAAAGCCCTAAAAGGCTTTCAAAAAATACTAAGTGGTTGTTAAAAGCTTGGAAAAGACTACAGGGGCAAAGATTACGAATGAAGAAGATAGCACAGTCCCAGTGGGGCCCAGAATGGGCATCAGGAATGGCAGAAAACAACCTCCCAAGAGGGTAGAAACAGGGCTAGAAACCTGGCCCCGAAACCCCCACCCAGAGCTCTTGGCTACCCACAGAGAAAACAGCCAACAAACTCTTTCCAATTGGACACTCTCTCCTTCTTGCCCCATGCCCAGGCCCCAGAAACACCCCATTAAACCAAAGCTGGAGACAATTCAGCTTTGGGCAGATGTTGCTGTTTAACCTTTAAGACACTTGCTTTCGCACTGTCTCCCGCCAAACCACAACTCACGTTAGCCACAAGAGGTTAAAGGTTTGGCTCCAGTCTCGCTGGGGGCCCCCGCTCAGACATGCTCTACGGAAGGCCTCTCTGGCCAGGAAGATGGTGGTCGAGTAAAGCAGTGTTAGCCTGTAAAGGAAAAGCAGAAATCAATAATGACTCTGTTTTTTTTCACAGAGAGAATTTCTGAGATTTTGCCAGCGAGAGGAAGGAAAAGTCTTGGGTATAAGTCACTGGTGGTGATGTGAAGAGCAGTGAGTTCCTGCAGGGCCCCATACTAACCTGATCCACTTGAACAGCAGAGTTAGGAATGGAACAAGGGACACCTGAGAGTGTGCCTACAGAGCATTATGCCAGAATAGACACTGCCGCAGTGGCCCCCAAAACCTACCGCTTCAGAGCAAATAGCAGAGGTGTGGCTCTGACACTAAGGAGAAAAGGACAAGGTATGACTGCACACAGCAATCGGATCTCTTGGTCACACTGAGACCGGTGACCTATCAGTTCTTATAAGAGAAGCAGAGGCTCTACTGAGCGGAAGCTCTGGCCAAAAGCTTTCTCAGGACAGCCAACAGACTTGTTACACACGTCACCGCAACCCAGGTCAGCAAGGCTTGTCTGCATACTTGCTGGGTGGGCAGTACCTAGGTGGACCTTCCTGCACCTGGGTGAGTGGTAGCTGAGGTTTTCCCTCATCAACAGGCTGTGGCTGATGAAGCTAGAGTGGGGACAGCCCACGGCTAAGGTCTCTCTGAGGTTGTCCAAGGATCATGTGGCCACCCAAGGCTTCCGTCCACCACTGCCAATGAGGAGACTGGACCATATGGTAAGTAGGGGGCGGGCTAGACCATGGCTGTCAAAGCAGAGACTTGCCAATCTGGAGGAGACCAGATGGCGAGAGGCCCAAACTGTTTTCAAATCTGAGCACCTAAGAGGAGATTTGGTCCCCTTCCTTCCTGCTTTTTTAAAAAAGATTTTTGAAAGATTTTATTTATTTATTTGAGAGGAAGAGAGATGAGTGGGGGGAGGGGCAGAGGGAGAAGCAGACTTTCCACTGAGCAGGGAGCCCCAGGCAAGGCTCCATGCCAGGATCCCAGGATCATGACCTGAGCTACAGGCAGACCCTTAACTGACTGAGCCACCCAGGTGCCCACATTTTTTACATTTTTTAAAAAAGATTTTATTTTTAAGTAATCTCTACATCCAACATAGTGCTCAAACTTAAAACCTCAAGATCAAGGGTCACATGCTCCACCCACTGAGCCAGCCAAGCGCCCCTCTTCCTGCTTTTCACAGTATTTCTTAAAGTATGGTCCTTACTTTAAAATTATCCGAGGAGGGGCATCTGGATGGCTCAGTGGGTTAAGCCTCTGCCTTCGGCTCGGGTCATGATCTCAGGGTCCTGGGATCGAGCCCCACGTTGGGATCTCTGCTCGGCAGGGAGCTGCTCCCCCTCTCTCTCTGCCTGACTCTCTGCCTACTTGTGATCTCTCTCTCTGTCAAATAAATAAAATATTTTTTTAAAAAATTATCTGAGGAGCTTGTCAAAATACTGATTCCTGGGCCCCTCCTCAGTCCCACCTACTGTAAACCACATGATCCCTTTGCCCATCAAAGTTTGAGAACCTTCTGCAAGATCGGAGAACAGAGCCCAGAGCTTGTTTGGTGGGTATTCTGTGTGAAATCCTGTCTGGAACATACTGTCTTATTTATCAGGACACGATGCTACACCTGAGAGGCTGAGCTATTCTGAGCACTCACATTATTCCATATACTTTCGTGTCATTTGTGAATTCAGAATATGTGTGGGCGCCCTTGAACGGAAAGGAGAGGAATAAAAAAAAAAAAAAAAAAATGGAGTCTTAAAGACAAAGCAAAGCAGCTCTCTAAGAGCCGCCACTGAGGGACTCGTGACAGGGACTCAAGCTCTCACCCTAGCTTCCATTCTCCAATTATAGAAGTCACTGAGAAGGGAAGGCAGCCTGCTCCAGGCCTGCAGTTATGAAGCACATCCTCAAGCACTGCAGAATTCCTGCTTCCCTCACTGTCAGCAGGACAAGAACACAGGATTATACCTGAGACAGGGTTTGCAAGGAATTACTCCCACTCCTCTCCTGGGTTCCCAGAGCAGCCAAACCGGAACAGCTGACAGAGAAATGTGCATTTGGAGGCTGCTAATGGAAAACACTCCATGGGGCCATTAGAAGCAACATCGCCTGCTCATTCCCCCACCCCAGCACGCTCTCCCTCAGCCCGCTGCTAGAACACTCCGCTTCTGGGAAAGGGCCGTGCTTCTAAAATCCGAGGGTGACACAAAGGTGCCCTGACTCGGGGTGTGGGCTGTGGGCAGTGCCAGGGCTCATCTCTTCTTACCTTACATTCACTATGCCAACGATTTCCTTTGACAGGAAGCGAAGAACAAACGCATTCAAGACAAAGGTGATCACTCGAAACAACACCTACGGAAAAAGAGGGAAAATACACTGAATTATGTTGGGAACATTTACTTGTGAAATGAAAACAATGTGGCTGTTCTCCCTAATAACGTACTGACAGCAGCTTCGCCAGAGACCCTCTCAGAAATGCGCCACCTGTCTGCATTTCTGCTGAAATGTCATTCCTTGGGGTCCCTCAGCACACCTGTGCAATGGTCAAGAACCCACAAAGGCACATGGAAGGCTCCCTAATTTATTGATAAGAGGGAGGCCCTGACATATTCAGTGAATTTCTTTGGGCTCAAAGTTAGGTGCTCCAGGAGACAGAGAATTCTAGTTAGTGCTTCACATTGCCTGCCCCCCAAGCCTGTTTAGAAATAGCACACACTTAGCAAGTGGGAGCCTGCAGGGTACGGCAGAATCTCTAGGAATCACAGGGCCTAATTTCTCTTTCTTCTCTGCCTAGTAATATCTGGGGATTCTGATAATGACTTTTAGTCTCTTTTAACTTGTATTCTCAATTAGAAAAGAAAAAATATTTGCTACTTTCCTGAGAGGAGTTGAAATATCTTTTTTTTTTTTTTTTTTAATTTGAGTACAGGGGTGCCTGGCTGACTTAGTAGAGCATGTGACTCTTGATCTTGGGGTTATGAGTTTGAGCCCCAAGCTAGGTATAGGGATTACTTAAAAATAAAATCCTTTATTTATTTTTTTAAGGATTTACTTATTTATTTATTTGACAGACGGAGATCACAAGTAGGCAGAGAGGCAGGCAGAGAGAGAGGAGGAAGCAGGCTCCCTGCCGAGCAGAGAGCCTGATGTGGGGCTCGATCCCAGGACCCTGAGATCATAACCTGAGCCGAAGGCAGAGGCTTAACCCACTGAGCCATTCAGGCACCCCAAAAATAAAATCCTTTAAAAAAATTTTTGAGTACCACCAACACACAATGAGGTAACTTTTAAATGATAACTGTAAATAATAAGATAATATAAAATGGGGAAAGGGAGAAAGAGTCCAGCTATCGCCATTGAAGAGGATATATACCAAAATTTCAAACCTGTCAATTCAAGAAAACTACCCGAGCAAAGAATTATTGCAGGAGACAAGAGAACAGGGTGCCAGGTGGGATGCTAAATGGGGATATTGACCAGCTGCAAACCTCAGCGCCCCCTCTGCATCCAGGCAGCACAGCAGGTAGAACTCAAGTGTGCTCCCCAGCAAATGACAAATCACTCTGAGTTACGTGTGAACAGCTGCAATTTGTTTGGTTGTTTTTTGGTTTTGGTTATTTGGGTTCTTTAACAAAGATTTTGTTTATTTTATTTGACAGAGAGAGAGAGAGAAAGTGAGTGAGCACACAAGCAGGGGCAGCAGCAGAAGGAGGAGAAGCAGGCTCCCCACTGAGCAGGGAGCCTGATGCTGGACTTGATGCCAGAATCCTGGATCACGACCCAAGCTGAATGCAGATGCTTAATGGACTGAGCCGCCCAGGCATCCCTGGTTGTTTTTTTGAGAGAGAGCAAGTGCCCTTTTGGGGAGGTGGAGGGAAGAGGAGGGAGCAGAGGGAGAGGGACAGAGAGAATCTTAAAATCCTCAGCAGACTCCACACCCAGTGTGAAGCCTGACATGGGGCTCGATCTCACGAATGTGAGATCATGACCTGAGCCGAAATCAAGAGTTGGAATGCTCTCCTGACTGAGCCACCTAAGCGCTCCTGAACAGCTAAACCTTGAAAGATTTCAATCAAAGTATGCCAATAGGCCATGATGGTTTGAAAATCTCTGGGGAAAGATATGACCAAAAACGGAGAGTACAGTTTACCACTGTTAGTGTCTGTAACACTAAAGTGTCATAGAGCAACAAAGTTTCCAAAGCCAAGCTACCACAGTCTTAACCTTTATGGAGTCAAAGGTGGCCTTTAGGGAAACGCCTGATGAAAGTTCTGTAGCTCTCCTAGGAAACATGCAGATATAGATATAGATATAGATATAGATATATCAAATTCTTTACTCAATTTTAGACGTTTGAAGCCAATTCATGGGGCCGTCAATGGAAAAATCACCACTTAGCTGTTAAACCCATCATCTCCTAACTCCTCTACCTATCTCATAGGGTTGAGAACAGGATCAGACAAGATTGTGAAGGTGAAAACATTTTGAAAAACACATACAAATGAAAGACCTTCATACTTTCACTATGATCAGCTCAGAATTAAGAGAGAGAATAAGCTCTCAAATTCTTGCAGAATACAATGTAATTGCAAACCTACCTCAAGTATTTGCATCGTAATGTGAGGACGCATATGAGATTAAACATACACAGATTAAAAAACACTCAGGAAGCCTAGATTATGGCTGTATTCTTAAAATGACGTACATCTATTTATGCTAACAAGAGTCAAAGTTATCATTGTCTAAGAAAATGTCTCGGGCTATATCCCTATCTCCTAGTTGAAGAGTTAAGTTAATGAAGCTCTGAAGTTGTTCATGCCACACAGTATCTGCTCCACATAGTGGCCCTTATTAGCAACACAATCTTCATTTAACTTCGTAAAGGACTTCACAGTTTATTTTTTCACATTAAAAGGAATTTATTACATGCATCATATATGTATATTTTAATTTTAGTTAATATACAGTGCAATACTGGTTTCTGGAGTAGAATTCAGTGATTTATCCTGTTCACACGACACCCAGTGCTCATCACAAGTGCCCTCTTTAATACCTATCACCCATCTAGCCTGTCCCCCACCCACCTCCCTCAAGGGCTTTACAACTTAAAAATAGCTCTTACATTTGGTACCCATTTGCCCCTTCAAAGCAACTGGGTAAATGCACAGGAAGCAAGTTAAGACTCAGAGCAAAGTGATTTGCTCAATGTCACACAACAATCACATGAACCAGCTTCACTTTACAGGTAGGCACCTGACTCTAGTCCATTGTATTTTCTGCTAAGATGTGGTCTGTTTGTTTGTTTATGAAGCCAATCTGGGTGGTAAGGTATCATCAAAGATTGAACAATCAGCATTATGGCTCAAACACCGAACTCCATTATTTATGTTGTGGAATAGAAGAAAAAAGACTTGGTAAATTCAGTATTCACCTACTTTAGGGTTAGGTGAATGTTTATTAAGCATTTATCTTGTGCAAGGAACTCTTCTACATGCTTTATGTGATTATTTCATTTCATTCCTATAAGGACCATTTTAAAAATCCTTATTACCATAATAAAAATACCCAACATTTACTAAGTACTCATAATGAGCCAGGCACTTAACAGTCATGCCATCTAATCTTGCTAATGGCCCTATGAGGCTGCATTACTGCTCTCATTTAAGATGAAGAACACTGATGCTCAAAGTAAAGCAATTTTTCACAAGGTCAGGGATCTGCCAAGTAAGGAGGATTACACTTGAGCTCAAGTGTGCCTGGTTCTCTCTATTACCCAAGTGAAATGCTGTCTCTAAAATAAAGGGGAGGGCAGATTCAGGATTCTTCTGAGTAAGGGCTAAACGGCTCAAGAGTGCAACACAGGAAAAACTGAGCCCCTTGACTTAGAATGACCAGCTCCTAGGTTAAAAGAATCTTTAGAGACCATTTGGACCAACTGGCATGTACCTTATCTGAGAGATGATGAAAATTAGGGCCAAAAAGGGGACGTGACTTATCCAAGGTCACATAGCCAGAGGGAAAATGCAGCCAATATTTACTAAGTGCATACTAAGAGTCGGGTTCAGCATTAAGTACAATTATCTTTATGACTCCAGTCAAGCCTCATAGCAAATTTATGAGCTAGGTACTAGTATGACCCCAGTTTTCCCATGAGGAGCTGAGTCTTAGCAGAAGTCGTTTGTCCTGGGTCATGCAACTAGCACAAGGCAGAACCAGGATTCCTACACCAGGTTTCTTTTTCTTAGTTATGCCATACTGTCTCTCTCAACTCGGTGGGAGTCAGATCGTCTGAAAAGGGGTCCGAGGGTCAGCGATGGGGCATGGAGAAAGTGAACCCCTTCCCTTAAAAGCATATTCTAGACCACCTGCCACCCGACCCGTCTCCTACTACCATTTGGGAGATACAATGCTCAGAACGAAAGTGACTTGTTTGCAGTCTCCCAGCCAGCGCTCCGCGCTCCAGGCCCAGGCGCCCCTTCGCCGCCGCCACTGCCTCTTGTCCAACCCCTCTGTAAGTGGGGTCCACACCGGGACTGGGTGTAGCCCGGGGCGTGCTCACAAGGGCCCCAGGGCCGCCTCCCCGAGCATCCCGGCTGCGGGTCGAGCTTGGGCCAGCCGGGCAGAGAGTACCTGCAGGAGCAGACCGGAGGAGGCCAGGCGGGCCGCCTGACCCAGCACCTCCCTGCTGCCCATAGCTTCAGCGCCGGGACTCGGTCACCAGCAAACGCCACCGCCTACCCGCCGCGTCGCAAAGAGATAGCGTCACGGAGCGACTCGCCCTTTGATTGGTGATCTTGCGGCGGCGGAGGCGGAGCACGAAAGGTTTTGGTCCATTAAGCGGTCGGCTTGAGTGACGTCACTGAGCCGGCGCCGCGTTTCTTCTCTCGTTCGCTCCGAGCTTGTGAGGTTTCTGTTCCTGCTTCTTACCGTCCCGAGTAAGTTAAGTGAAGCTGTTAAAAGTAGCCAAAGTCCCGTCCCTGAGGCTCTCAGCCTCCCAGCTAAGAAACATGAACTTCCCGGCCTTGTTCATAAGATTCTTGCCTTTTGGTCTTGGTTTACAAAGCTGGACCACAACCCCCAGAATTAGGCAGGACAGGAATTACCATTATTTTACACAGAAAGGACTGAAGGACCGGAAGTTAAATCAGCATTTTCATGTGCGTGTAATTGGGCCCTGTGGTCAGATGAGTAAGACTAGACGTGAGTGGAGCCAACCTGGGGCTTCAGATCCTAAACCCCCTCTTTTGCCTACATGCTACCCGTTGTGAGGACAGAGCAGAGGAATGGTCGGGAAGCGCTTTGTAAAACATGAAGCACAACGCACAGCATCGGCTGCTCTGTCCTTGTTCTTATCTACTATGCAGTCCTAGGAAGCCC